AGACAGCGCCAGATTGTGCGTGCAGGATCTTGCACAATATAAAAAACGAGAACAGATCTCTCCCTTGGTGAACTCGAGTGAGTCAGCTGAGTGACCAACCACGCTGCTTGGGACAGCCTGTGAGATCCGGTGGTGACCTGGAACGGTAACGGGAGACCCTCGTGAACTGAAGGGATGATCCAGTAAGGCTAGGAAAAGGTTCCTGGAACAAAGGAGAACAAGTTAGAAGGGCGCCGGAGTGTTTTCCGGCTTATCCCCTCCGACGATCAAGTCAGCTTTTGAAAGGGAGAGGAAGAAGAAAGCACTGAGTATCTCTCGTAATAAAGAGTTTTTTGTTGCATACCGTCTTGCCTTTTGCGAGGAGTATTTATACCTCAAAAGCTCATGATTGCTGTCAGTGTAGTCAGTAGGTGATCATTAGGTACAGGCAGTGTGCGCACTGATTCTGATGAGGAATATCTTCTCTTCTTAACTGCTCGGGGTCCTGAGCAATCAATGCTGCGTCATCGGGATGCCGACGTGACAATGAACTCCTCTCGGGGAGGATGCAATAAATGCTCTGTATTAGGAACATTTATTGCCTTTCATTTCCGAGCCTTACCGCATTGAATGCAGTCTCGTCAAGAGAATGGTGTAATTAATCGTTTGTTTTCCCAAGTCGCGTGTCAGCAACGGCATGCGGTTTTTCTGTCTTTGATGTGACATCATATGCCACGCGTCCATCCCCCATTGGCTGTGGCCCCTGCATTCCTGTACGTTCTGACACTAATTGTGTAAGACGAGGTCATGATGAATAGCCTAGGCTAATGACCTGTACGTCAATAGCTTATTCTGGAGCAGAGGAGGCGTCTAGGACGGGGTACCTCTCGGCACCGAGGAAAGGCACATCTCGAAACCGAGGGAGGTATACCGACCGAGGTACCATATCAGACCGAGGCTACGTGTCGGTTGTAAAACGTACTGAATGCCATGATCCCATATGACGAGTACCTCGGGAGCGAGGGACCTTTGTGAGCCGATGGTGCTTGATCTTAGCAACAGTGTTTTGGTAATACCGAAAACACGTGTCTTCATCATGAAATTTTTCAGAAAAGTCCCATCACATCTCATGATCATCATTAGATGGTAGCATTAGCCAAGGGATTTGGCAAACTCGCAGTTTGGGCCTATTCGACTGCACAGATTTCCAATGCACACAGACAGTAGAAAACCAAATATAATCAGCATATGAAAACTGTTTCTCCACTTCTTTCAATAAATCCTGAGGAAGGTTGGTCACTGCACACGAACAACAGAGTAGAGGATATTTTAAAACACTCAATTTTTTCCTTTTTGCATCTCAGGGGAGGAGGAGGGCAAGGGAAAGAGATCAACACGATGATTTTTGAATTTGCATCCCATTGCTAAAGAAAATAAAGATGTTAAGTAATAATGACCTCTTGGTGAAGGGTTAGAGACCAAACAACACTGATCTATTTCTCATTGTCAGCAATTGAATTGTCCACGCACAAACATTTAGAAATAAAAATTAATTTGTGCATGCTTAAGCCCATTCATATGGATTAACAAAAAATTGCCCGCAACAGATTAAAAATAAAAAAATCCATAGACATTAGATAATTATGATCATCATACTGTCAGTCCATCATTCTTCAATTGTGACGCCTACTAAACTTAAGGAGTGGTCATAACGTGCTATCTCTAATCTAAGCAACGTTGCTAATAACGTTTTTTAAGTAAGTAATTAGTAGTAAGTAAACAACTTTTGAATTGACCATAAAACTATATTTAGAGAATTGCAAAGGAAACAGAGCACAGGCCCCTCAACTCAGCAGCAGAGCAGAACGAATTTCCCCAACATGAACATCCACACACAAAAGTAATCAGCGAAGATTCAAAAAAGAGTAACTCACAGTGCTTTCTTTCTGATTTTCATTACCAGTGGAGTGTTCCATGTCCACCGCTTCCGCTTGGGTATTGTGAGACAATCTCTCTGCTCTTCACCCAAACAAATCGCTCTGCTGAATCTCAACAAAGACACAGAGAAAACTAAGATGTGTTTTTCTGGTGTTGGTTGGGTTTTTTATTAGTGGTTCCGTCCTACGTCGATGCGATTTAGGAAATGCTGCTCATACAAGAGATAGATCTCCTCAGCTGACACTACTGCAAACTCCTAATAAATATAGTTTTTTTTTCTTTTTTTTCGTTTTTTGGGTGAGAAAGAAAACTCCTATATTTTGATCGGTGGCCATCTTAATATAGTATTCATTAAGCCATGAATTTGCTCATAAATAAATAGGTTGAATATCTATATTAATTAATACGAATTTTAAATAAATTAGATAATATAATTTATTTTAATTAAGTCAATTAAGATGAATTAATAGTTAAAAAAAGTTAAGACGAATTACAAATCTCCTTGGGTTGAGTATTTATATTTTTATTAAATAATAATAAATAAATATACACAAATTATTATACCAAAAACAAACATACATATATTAATATATTAAAAAAACACATACTACTACACCAAAACACACACATATGAAACATATGAAACATAAGTTTTGGTCTTCATACCAGGGCTGGCTCAGTAGTGTAAACGAAAAAGCGGGCGCTTAAGGCCCCAATTTCAAATAAAGTCCCATATTTTTTAATGTACAATATAATTCAGTCTAAATTTTTAAATATATAACAATATAAACTCCATAAACAATCTTAATAAAGTATACACCTAATAACTAAATTTTAAATTCAATAGTTGGGTTCAAAATTACAAGCCACACATTTTGTTGTAACGATCAAAACTTAGTAAAACAAAAACCGTAAAAATAAAAATCTCCTTTCTCCGTCTCTCTCTCACACACACATACTGTCTTAGATCTCCAATTAAACACAAATAAAACTCTCTCTCCCTCTCATACACGTATGACTTTTTATCTTAAATTATACATCAAATCAAACTCACATAATATAACCTATTTAATTTTACAATCTTTGATTTAGAAAGAACTAAAATATCAAATTTTAATGTTGCAATATAACTATGATAAATTAAACTATATTATTTTTATATTTTTTTCTGTAATTTTAAGCTCATGTTATATTCTGTAATTATAAATACCATATGATTATTTAGAATTAATTTGTTGATTATTTATTATAAATATGGTAACTATAAAATAGTCATCTGGATGTAAAAAATCTTTCTCAAATATGAGAAAAGTTTAAAATAATTAAATCTCAAAATAATTTTTTTATTCCTACTACCAAACAAAACGTCATAGAAAAATAGGCTAAAGTCATGCAAATAAACAATTAATAAATCCAAAAGTATAAAAAATAATAAAAAAATACAAAAAATAATAACAAAAAATATTCACGATGAGAGTCAACACATGCAAAACAAATCCTGGATGCAAAACATACAAAAAAATAAAAAAAATATTAGTAATGAAAATTTTAAAATTAATAAAATCTTACTGAAAGTCGATCACATCACAAGCAAAAATGAGAGAATTAGTAATATAGACAATTTAAAAAAGCCTCTAGGTTTCAAGTTTTCTTTTAACTCGCCCCCGTTTCATACATAACTGTCTCTCTCGACTATTTCCGGCTGTTGCCAGTTATAAAACATAAGAGACTATGTCCGCCATTTTAGCACTATGTTCACCATTTTAGCAGAAGATTAGTTCTTAAAGATTAAACAAAACTCATGTACTCTATTTTTAACAGCTGCAGACGGGGTAAAGAAGCTTCTTAAAGTCTGAATGCAGAAATTTGCAGAGACTATTTTTTACTTTTCACTACTTCGTAAAGATTAGTAGATATCATTTGCTTTACCTTCTTTAATGTTCTCGCCAATCGTTCAGCAAGTTTGAGATTGTAGATTGCCTTCCGTTCAAAAAACAATGATGAGCAGAAGTTTTTACAAATTATACATTGATTGGTGGCGAACAAACAATAGGTATAGGATTGATGAAGCCAAATACAGGGAAAATTAGCTTAAATGAAATGAGAAGAATGTATAGAATGATTTCGTGGATTGCATTTCAGTTGACTGTCTACAACTTCAGGTAAATGATAGAACATGCAATTCCCTAGCATAACCTTGAAGGTAGGACCATGATTTGGCAGTAGAAGGGATTAGTGGCTGATCGCTGATGATAAGGTTATGTTCAGAGAAATCAAGATTCTTCTGATAAGGACGAAATTAACCCCCAGAAAATATGATCATCTAGAGAATGAAACAACAAAGGATGACTGACACTGCCGATGGTTGGAAATAGAGTGAGTTGAGTTTGTTTTGGCAATTCTCAAAACTGAAAGAACCTGTAGAGCAAGTAGAACTGCACGGTTATGAGGGCACGAGTTCTTTGCTTGGTGAGTACAATATAAGTTTGAGCTCTATAAACTGTTTATTTTTGTTTTTGTATGAAAATCATGAAGGTTTGTTTTTGATGATGTCATCTACAGACTACAGAGGATAGTACACTTTGGTTTCCGTTGATCTGTACATCTTTCTTTCCCATTTGGATTCATTGCTCTAATTATTCCATTTCCAATCTTTACCCGTAAGAGGTAGTAACTGGAAGAGAATTTGGGGTACCGGGAGAAACAATGAGCCAAAACTCACAAGCCATATGTTTCACCTCTGTTGCAAAAATATATTTGGACCCAATAGAATAGGTCCACTCCAAAAGATAGTGCAGGTCACGGTTATTAGCCCGACACATTCACCACTGTACCGCAGAAATACTGAACGCGTGCAATCCATCTGCTAAAATTGCTATTACAACAAGTGCTGCTGCACTGTTACATCTGGGAGAAGAAGAGGTTTGTGTTACCACCTTGATCAAACTTCTAGAACAAAGTTACTGATGTCTTTGTGATGAATCAGAAGAATGCCAGTGAATGAAAGAGCTGCTCGTGTTCATCTCTTGCTAGCATATGTACTTTACCAACCACTCCAGGCTCTGTTAAGTATGAATATACTGTCAGGGACCTTCTTTGCTAGCATATGTAATAGCTGGTGCACTAGCAGTGACCATGATTGACTTATTTCCACCACGGAACTTGGAGGGAATTTTATAATGAGAAAAAATAGGAATGAGAGAGTTCTTTGGCATGGTGTTATTGCATACCTTTATGCATTGAGGTAGATCATCATCTTTTGTTCTGGCATGAATCTGTGCACGAAAATGATAGAATTGGTTCATAAAATAGCTAAAAAGATTTTTCTTGGAGATATTATCTCCCAAGAAAGACCAACAAATACTTACTTGGGCAAGGCAGAATAATCAATATTTCGGGGAAATAGAACAGGAATCAAATTGTAATATATAGTGCTGTTCCAGATGCCTACCTTTGTTACCAGTTGGCAGGATGCATCTTGATTGGCCGCTAGGGATGCAAGGATTACTAAGCCAGCAGCTACAGATGAGGGCCAGTAGCACAGTTGCTCGTGGCCCAGCAGAGCTAACACTGCCAGGTACTTTGAAGTCTTCTCCACCTCTTGATTAGCTTTTGCTGCTTCGAGGTAGAACCTGTCTCATATTAATCCATAGCTTTAAACAAGTAGTTGGAGCAATCGAATAAATTCAATTACCAGAAAAGTGGCCAGATGCCCAAACTTTAAGATTATACACATTAAAAGAGTGGATGGGGAAACTGTGTAGTACCATAAGAAATTGTACATGGTGGGCAAGAAGCATTGGAAGTTGAGGACTTCCTGCACCAGCCATTCCATGGCTACCACCTCACATCTGCTATACACATTGCTTCCGCTGTAAAATGACTTTTGGCGCACGCTGAAATGGTTAAAAGTTCAAATATAGAGTTACCTGAGTTCCCATACTGAATAAAATTGGAGGAAGTTAAGTTACTATCGAGGCAGCAAGTTAATCCCTCATTTAACCAAAATAGGCATGCAGCTGAGAATTATAACTCTCACAAGCAAGGAAAGTAGTGATCCACTATGTCTCAATAGTCACTCTAAACACAGTCATTTTTCTACCTTTCCTACTCTCCCGTGCCTATTTGGTGACATGGCAAACTTTCTCTGCAGCTTCTTGAGGTTAATATCTTGCCTAAGAATTTTTTTTGTTAGATTTATATCTCACTATGTCATAAACTATCAGATTGGGTATGACTAAGACTTGAAACTTGCAGACTTAATTGGTTGCGATATGGATCTTACGAGATATGTGGACAAAATCAAAGAATATATAGACTTGTAGAGAGTATCTGGCCTTTATGTAGTTAGTCTTTCCCTCCCTCCTTCCCCAGTAGTATGTACTGCTGCCGCTAGACAAAGGTTGACGGTCTTTTGTAGTTTAATGAAATTTGAAATCATCACTGTAGTATGCTTGCCTTTTGTAGCAAATGACTACAACCACCTCAATTTAGTCACGCGACTGACTTGGATGTATTTGAAGGAGTTTTTTCATATCGCATATTGACAAGTCAATGTTAGTGGTTCATCTTTAAATGCTATTATGTGGTTTTTTCCTTTTCAATATCTTATACATCTATTTGGATAGGAGTAATGATTACTCTAATTCGATACAGGCAACTGCAACAAATAAAGACCAAAATACCTGTTGAAGGGCTGATTTTCTTCAATCCTGGTGGCCAGAGTGAGACAAGCAATTCCAGCAATTTGGAGATTCCTCTTGGTTTTGAAGTATCCTTTACTGAGGAATCGGTCCAGAAGGCAAACACCCAGAAACATTGTCTCCCTTTGTAACTCCTTGTTAGTAGATTGCTGCTTGATCGATTTGAAGAGTAGAAGAGACAAATCAATCAGTAGAACTAATGCAACAACGTTAATTGAATAGCCAATTATTGTAGGCCACCAAGCTAAATTGATTTTCGATTCCCGTGACACAGGTACATATTCCCCTGATTCTGCAAACCATTCCCCATCTCCCAAATGCAAGGACTTGTCAAATTTTGACTTATGCCACAAGCGTAACTAACTGACTAACTCTAGATGCTATTGGACCGCTCAACGTTCTCTTCAGCTTAAGGTTAGGTTCATTAGAACTACACGGCCAAGGGAGCACAACCGACCGTCTTAGTCTAAAATCTACTTTGGGGTTTTATACGTAAATGTTACACGAGGCCTATAAATATTTATTCAATATGGCCCTTTTGTATCAAGTCGATGCGCGGGGCGAATTCTGCTTCAAAAATGTAACAGTTTAATATTGTCTTTATAAAATATATGTTACAATCTTCAATCAAAGTTTATCGAGCGCTTTCTTTCATCTGCCTTCTATGTATGCCTTCATGGTTGTTAACAGGAGCAAATGAAGAGGAGCACAAATAATAACAGTAATATTAAATACTTAATAAAATATGTTTATTTACAAATTATTTGTTTTGTCTTTTGAGATATCTAATTCAAATTTTAAATTTAAATTTTACAAATAAAAATTGTGTTAATCGAACTCAAATACAGAGATCAAATACAATGATACATACTATTTGATTAAGATAAAAAAAATAATTGAAAATTAGTTTGACTAGTAAAATGATTTTTTTTCTAAATGTATATAAAAATAGAAATTTATATAAGTTGAGTGGCTTGAAATAAATGAGATATCTATATTATAATATAAAACATGACAGACTTCAATAAACTCATCCGATGGTCTCAACATCTCTCTCAAAACCATTTAAATTGAATTTTCCTCTAAATTCATCACTTCTCACTCACGTTACACTTTGTCTTCAGGCATGAGTTATCCCTAGTTGTTAGATATTATAGAGAAAAAGAATTATTTTTAAAAATAAAAAAAGATAGTTAGTGCACTACTTTTATTCCCTCTATTTTATAGTCATCTTGTGTATCGTAAACAAAATTATTAAAAAATAAACTCAAATTTAATTTATACAAATGTAAAATTATTATTCATGTCTATCATACAATAGACAATTGATTTTAATAATAAAACTGACAAAGTGATAATATATAATAAAAATATCGAGAGAGATAAAAAAATAAGTTAAACTTAAGGCACTAAATTCTTTTGAAAGATGTTCTAAATTTTTTTATAAAATAATGTTAGTTGCACTTAATTTAAGAACCAAATACATTAAATAAATAGTAAATTTTGTTTTAAGTTAGCACTTACTATTAATTCGATGATTAAAATATATTGAGTATTTAAATTATATTTTAAAATTTTAATTATATTTTAAAATTTTAATTTTATATCATTGTTTATTTTATTTTTGATCTCCAATTTTTTCTTCCAATTTAAAAATTCTAGGCGATGCTTAAGTGGCCTAAAGATTGGACCGGCACTATTCCATTGTTGCTCATGAGATTGAAAGTCTCCAAACTGTCATTGCATCGTACCCAAATTATCATCTCAATTGCATGTACATAGTTTTGATCAATTTTAAACGTCCATAATAAATAAGTGGGACGTCAATAATAAAGTTTAAAATAATGGAATACTAATTTTGATGTGACACTGAAATAATAATTCTTTTGTTTTTACTTTTATTCATTTAATATTCAAATTTTAGTTACCGCGTCCCAACTGCCATATTATTTGAAACTCAACTTTTTGTCCGCAAGTGCCACACGTTTGTAGGAACTTTTGGTGGACATGAAAATTGAAAGCCAATAGGGAAGAAGTGGAGCCAAATGTTCACGAAACAGAAAAAGACTTCATCAGATTTTCGAGGAAAGTACATGAATGATAGAGCAGTTCCAGTAGGGCACTCCTCAACATGCACACAAGTGGTGAGATCCAATTAGAGAGAAAAAATTGTAGCAAAAAGTAACTGTGCAGAACATACCTCAACGATCCAGTGGACCATCTGTAACCGTTGCTGAATGACGAGCTCGCCGCGGTCCGTGCTGGAGCAGTACTCCTCCGCATAGTCGTGGAGATACACTTCCCTCCTCTCTCGCTCTCTCATCATCTTGTAGCTCTCTTCGTGCTCTTCTTCTTCAAATCTCGACAGCTGAAAATCAAAATTCTGACGAAATAAACAATTGCACCGAACAGAAACTTACATATAGGCAATCAAATAAAAATTAAATTATTTTTCCAGAGACATAATTTTAAATAAAAAATACAGAATTGTAGCATGCTAATAATGTCACATAAATAACTAAATTACAGCATAAAATGAATGCATGTGTACTACAGAAATATAGTTGCACACCCGAAATTCAAAATAGACAACAGTGGCATGAAATACGCAACTCGGAAGAAAAAGAACACAAAACTCAAATACTAAAGTGGATTATGCAAAACACACAAAAAAATGTTTATAGCATAAAGATAAAAATATTTTGATGCTTTTATTTAGACGAAATGAATAGAGTGAAAAGAAATTACTACGAAGTTCTGATCACAATTATCTTCCTCATGGTGCGAAGAGAATTTGGAGGCCGTAACCGGACATGTTGATCTGCAGAATTGTTGGCGGAACTGAAGGAACAGCTGGAACGTAGGTGAAGGACTAGAATCATCGATTGATCGCTCAGAGAATTGGCTTCCAGAGTCACACCAAATGGACGAACTGTAATCGTCTGAGAAATCGAATGAACTGTCATGGAAAATATCCGATTGGAGCTCAGTAAAAGCCGACGGATAGCATGAAACGTCATCATACGAGTACGATATCTGCTCTGAGCAAGCGAGATCAAAATCGACTGCAATCAATTTCGGAATCTGTTTTACACTCGATTCTGAGTTCAAAATTTTCAAATTCGACTCGGCGCAATTTCGCGAAATTTCTGATACTACTACATCTCCAGATACTCTGTTTTCACGTACATTTCCAAATTTTGGCTGAGACGGCGAGTAGGAATTCAATTGAGAAACTACTGAAGAGACTTCGTTTTGATTGATATCCAGTGAATATTCAGTTCGTTTCACTTTCTCTGCTCCAGATTTAAACATTTCGCCGGAAAATTGCTCAACGCTGGAAATTTCTTCTATTCGTTCAATTTCCTTTACATTTTCGATTCCTTTTCCAATTCTACTTTTCGTCTTCGAATTTCTCTCTCCAGAAACTTCAAAAAATGCTCCAGAACATGATTCAACACAAGACGTTTCCGACAATTCAACTTCACGATCGCCAAAGTTTCGTTTCTCACTCTGTTTCTGCTTGTAGTACGATCTGGTAACTCTCCGAAACTCTTCTCCTGCACTGAATGCATCAAAACCTATCTTCTTCACCGAAACTCTTCTCGAATCGCCCGAAACTTCTCCAGTCGCAGTTAACAAGAGAACCGGAGATATCTGAGGGCGTTTCCGGCGAGGAAGCTTCGACCGGAGCTTCTTCATGGACAGAGGTACGGACTGAACCTTGAGCTTCATTTCAAACGACTTCGTTTTGGAATGTATAAGTTCAATGGAGTTTGTGGTTCGAGAACTGTGATCTGAGTTCGAGCGTGTGTTGTGTTTGTGTGAAGGGTGTGAAGCGGTTAAGAACGTTGGAGGGAGAGGAGGCGTGGTGGTTTATATATGCTGTGGCCAAGTGGGGCCACTTAGCGTCACGTCAGTCAGTCACGTTTAAACAGAAAGACAGAGAGAGAGAATAACGGAGTAAGTCTTCTTCTTAACGACCGTTTATTTGGCGTTGCAACAATCGTGTTAACTACGACATCGTTTCGGAATTTATAGCAGAGTGCACTTTTTCACTTCTAGCTAACTTATAGGAAGAACGAGGCGGTCAAGCACTTTTATGTTCGGACCACGTTCATACAGGGTGAAGTATATTGTCAATCACATGACAGCACTTGATTAATTCAGCAGGTTTAGATCATATTATAAAGAGCGAATTGCAAAATTTTTAATTTACACTCTTAAAAATTAATTTTTTACATTACATTTTATGTTATAAAATAGTTTCAATGTCATCAGCACCCTAACTTCTGTAAATGTTTTCATCAAATTCATGTGTTACATGTGCAGCAAGATTTGACAAAAACAATAATACAAGTTAGTAAAAACGTCACATTGTAATCATTAAGCGTGTAACGTATAAAAATTAATGTTTAAGAGTTATAAATTGAGAAACAGTATTCTTGATAGTCATAGAGTTTGTTAATTTTTTTAACATATTAGTTGATGCACGTATATAATTTTGAATTATAATTTCAACTTTTATTCAAATTTCTAGAATTATTTTTTTAACATATTCTTTAGATTTTTTTTTAATGTATATATTTAAATGACTTGACAATAATCTAAAAAATTAAGTGATACAAGAGAATTAAATATATGATTTGTAAATAAACTGGTAAATTGAACAACATCACCTATTTGAAGGTATTTGTAAAATTTTTTAAAAAAAGTGTACACAATTGTAAAGAGAAATCTAACAAATTGTAAAGGATACGCATGTCATTATTGTTACGTGGACCACCGGACTATCATACATTTTTATATGAAAAGTGATTAAAAAAAAGTGTGCCTAGATTGTCACAGAGCACAATGAAGTGGAGGTGGAGGAGTGTATAGTTTTAGGAAAATTCATGAGATGGAAACCAGATTTTAACTCAATTACTTATGATTGTGTAGAGTTCCAAGACATGAAAATTTATGTTCAAATTATAAGTTTGTAATTTTCAATTGTAAAATATTCCACAATTTATCTTTTTCTTTAATCTGTTCTAACTCTTTACTCATGGTCATGAAATATTTTTCAGCAAAATTTATTTATTACCTTCATATTAAAATTATTTCCATGGTCTTGGTGTTTATTATGACATACTTATGTTGATTTTAGCTGTGTATTTGTCATGTAACATAGGAA